CCACTGCCACAGTTTGACAACTCTGGTGTAAAGAACTTCAAAGAAGGAATCCTTCTACTACTTTATGTTATTTGTTCTGCATCCCATAGTCAGAGACCTGCCTACAGCACTATGCACCAGAAAAGAGACTAGATATTACATTTTCCTGACTGTTGTACTCACCTTGCCTCAAACACACACAAAGCAACCCATCCACAATCTCTTCCTAATTTTAAAAACTCTGTGGCTCCTATCCACCTGCACTATATTTACCATGATATTTATGGCCAAGGACACTAGTTAATTGTACAAAAATGAAGATATAGACAAAGAAGGTCCTGCAAGTTTCTTATGAAGAATAATAATTCCCCTCATGGCAACACTCTTTCATCTTGAAACCATACCAACTCCCACAACAAAGGGGGTATTCGTGGGATCAAGTACATATCACTGGACCTCTCATCTTTTTGTAGTTATCAATACCATCCTCATAAGAGCAGCATTGGAAATTATGTAAATATATATTGTACTAAAGACACAAAACTCTTTGTCTTCTAAACACTGATGCTCATTTCCAGAAGGCACCCTTAGATAAATGCACTGAGTCTTCCTTTCAAAGTGTACACTGTCAGTCTGTGCTAAGTGAATTTCACAGTATGCAAACAATGAATTCTAGCTCTCAAAAATCATTAGTTATGAACTTTGTTTCAAAAAAGACAGGCAAAGAATTAGTGAATAAGTTGAAGGTAAGCCAAAATCAGAACACTTGCTTGATTCATTGGTAATGCCTAGTCTTCATCATGTAGCAGACAATGGAGTAGTCTACGTCCAATAGCAGAATTTTCTGGCTCTATATTAACATATGCTGGGTCAAATAATTGGACACAATGGTAACAAAATATAGCTTATGAAGTGCTGTCATACAATTCAAACTATACTCTATTTTCTTGAGGAAGAATTGATCTTTTTAGGGAACAGTACAATATACCTTGTCACAAGAAATTCCAAATATTCTAAAACTTATAATAAACAAGATGTCACGTGAAACTACATAGGACTCATTTTTGCTTTGACTATCTAAAGGCCCAGTAACCTCTAATTCAGTTAACAGAATTCATAATTGTTCAGTATATTTCATGCTATGAACACCTGTCTTTCCCCAAAATGATATCAGTAACACGCAGTATTTTTTAAGTTGTTTGTAAATGTATATACTTTCCTATAGAAACAATACATAAATCTTAGTTCTCTAGGTTAATCCCACAAAAGCCTACTTAGCCTGTAGTGTACTTTTAGCATATACTAGTAATACTGTATAAATCACAACCAATATATAGAAAAAAAGTTTCTATGAGGAAATGAATTCAGAGTTTCATTCTGGTAGAATAAAAGAACTGAACCAAGGGTTCTGAAGTAAGGAGCTAGAAAAGGACTCAGGACCCACAGTAGAGGTAGAGCAAAGGGAAACGGTAAGAAAGTGGGGATAACTACCAATACTAGTTAGGAATGACCCTCCCTTACTCTCTATTCTTTCACACAGGACATGATTTATACTCCTTTTCTTTGCCTTTACTCCTGTTACTGAAGACTGATGCTGTGTGTAGGTTAAAGGCCATAATGAAAACAAATGTCTGGGGTTATAGGAAGAACAGTAGCAAACTATTTTCTTTCTTACCTTCTCTCTTACGAGACTTGCACTGGGTTTCGAGAGAGGGAATACCAGGGATGATAAAATGTTATTCCCTCTCTCCCCATATCCTCCTCCTGCCAACCAGTGTTTTATGGTGATGGGTAGAGATGAGGGCAAGAAGGATTTGTCCTCCATCCCCCTAGTCCACTACAGACCCCACGGCCTACTAGCTTTTTGCAATGGGATAAAGGTCCCTGTAGGTATCATCTACAGCAGCCAGAAAATAGTAAGGAGAGGGCAGCTAGGCAGCACAGTGGATAGAGCACCGGCCCTGGATTCAGGAGGACCTGAGTTCAAATCCGGCCTCAGACACATAACACTTAACTAGTGTGTGACCCCAGGCAAGTCACTTAACCCCCACTGCCCAACCAAAAATAAAAAAAAGAAAGAAAGAAAGAAAGAAGCAAAGGGAGAGTGAAATACTTGGCAACAGTAAAAAGAAAAGTGGAATTTCTACAGGATGCCCTGGCTAGCGCAATCATTTCTAAGGAATTTAAGTTGGGTATGAATAAGTTAGGTACTAAAAACCTAAACTTGTCTGTCTTTAACTCATAAACAAGCATACATGAAATATACTTTATGCAGTCTCAAGGAATCTTTTCACAGATACCTATTTAATGTTTTAAATTTCCAACTACTCTGGAGAATAATTCAGAATTATGCCCAAAGTACAACAAAACTCCACATATCCTTTAACTCAACAATACCATTACTAGGTCTGTATCCCAAAGAGACAAAAGAAAAAGGGAAAGGACCTGTGTATAAAAATATTTATAGGAGCTCTTTCGTGATGGCAAAAAACTGGAATGTCCCTCAACTGTGGAATGGCTGAACTAATTTGTGGTATATGATTGTGATGGAATATTATTGTGGTATAAGAAATAATGAAGGGAATGGTTTCAGAAAAACTTGAAAGACTTATATGAACTAATGCAAAGTGAAGTGAATAGAACCAGGAAAACACTGGACAAAGTAAGAACAATAGGGTAACAATGTTGAATTGTAACAATTGTGAAACTCAGTTACTCTGATCTATACACTAATCCACATTTCCAAAGGACTCACAATGAAAAATGCTATGCACCTCCAGAAAGAGAACTGATCAACTCGAAGTGGAGATTGAAGCATACTTTTTTCCACTTTATTTTTCTTGAAGTTTTTTTGGGGGTCTATCTACATGGCTATCATGGAAATGTTTTGCACGACTTCCTACATATAATGGTTATCATATTGCTTGCTTTTTCAATGGGCATAGGAGGAACTGGAAGGAAAAAGAGAATTTCAAACTCAAAATTTTAAAAAAAGAAGTTCATTTTCCCCCTAAATTTTTTGTTTCATTTTTCCTCTCATGCTGTGAATCTCTCCCTAGTCATCTTTGCTTTATTCAGTATGAGAATCAATTTATTGTTGTTGTTCAGTAGTTTTCAGTCATGTCTAACTCTTCATGACCCTATTTGGAATTTTCTTGGCAAAGATACTGGAGTGGTTTGCCATTTCCTCTCCAGCTCATTTTAAAGACGAGGAAACTGAGGCAAACAAGGTTAAGTGACTTGCCTAGGGTCACACTGCTAGTAAGTGTCTGAGGTCAGATTTGAACTAAAAAAGATGAGTTTTCCTGATTCCAGGCCCAGTACTCTATCCATGGTACCACCTAGCTACAAACTAGTCCAGCAGGAAACATAGAAACCCTATATAAAAAAATCTCTCTCTTTTTTCACTCCTATAATGAAAAGTATTGTATTTCTTGGTTTATCTTTTATTGGTTATTCACATCCTTCCCAGAGCTATAAAAGCGACCTTTCTAATTTTTGCATGGTATCTAATATTCAGGTGGCATCTCTACTTTTAGCTTATTTGTCGTATATGGTATAAGATGTTCGTCTATACTTAATTTCTGTCCAACTGCTTTCCAGTTTTTTCCAGGAGGCCTTGTCAACTGGCTAATTCTTCCCAAGTAATTAATGATAAGTTCAATTGTATCTAATTTTTAATGACCTAGTCCCTAAATTTTCTATTTTTTAACCAATACTCTATATGGGGTTTGGGGCTATTACCCCTCATTCCTATTTCCCCCTCATAATTTCCCTTAGGATTCTAGAGCTCTGGTTCCTGCAGATAAGTTTTATATTATTTGGTCTAGCTCCATAAACTAGTCCCTTGATGACTAATATAACACTAAATGTATAAATTATTTTAGGTAATAGTTATTTTCATTATATTGGCATATCCTAGTCAAGAACATTGAATATTTCTCTTTAGGTGCTTTGTAATTATTACTTTACAGGTGTTTGGTAAGCCACAGTGGACTGATTCAGACATTTTATGCATTTTGTAGTTAGTCTGAACAGGAATTCTGTTTCCATTACTTCTTTCTGGATTTTGTTACTGCCACATAGAAATGCTACTGACTTATATGGGTTTTATTTTGTGTCCTGATTGTTTTATTGTCAGTATTACAATTAGTTTCTTTGCTGATTTTCTAGGGTTTTCTAAGTAAACCATATCACGCAGTTCTATAACCTCATTGCCTATATTTATGTATTTGATATCTTTTCTAGTTTTACTGCTATTGCTAGCATTTCTTTAACTATGTCAAACAACAGCAGGAGCAAAAGGCAACTATGCTTAATTCCTGTATTTATTGAAAAGCTCCTGGTATTTCTTAACGGAATACAATGGTAGCATTTGATTTCAGATACTTTTTTCATGTTTGGTTTTTTTTTTAAAGTGTGAATGGAGAAAGTTTAATCAAATATCTGATAAGATGTCACAGATATCTTCTCATTCTAAAACCAAGTTATAAAGGAATTAACACAAATAAATATTACTCGCAATTTTTCAAAAGGCACTCCAGTGTATTTGCATTATCTGGACCCATCCCTGAAGAGTTTGTTTTGTCTCCTCACTGCTTTCTCTTAGTTTCTTTAGCTTCCTTCAGGCCTCAAACACAAATCTCTGCAAAAGGCCTTTCTAGTTCTCCCTGCTGCTAATACTGACCCCTCTCAGATTGCAATCTAGTTACTTGGATACGTCCAGTTATTTATGTTATCTTCCCTGTTAGAATGTAAGCTCCTTGAGAACAGGGCCTGCATTTGCCTTTCTTTGTAACTCTAGTCCTAAGCACAGTGCCTGGTACATAGCAGATGCTTAATAAATACTTTTTGACTTGGACAAGAATTAATCAACACACAATGTAAATTTGCTATTGACAATACAACAGCAGCAGCAGCAGTAGAAAGCATGAAGACTGTCCAAACAGATGATAATAATTCTCTGCAATAGGCATTTAGTGCAAAACAGAAACAAAATAATTCTAATTTCACAGACTTACCTTAGCAGTAGTTCTTTGGGAAGCTTTTTATTGATCACAGCTTCATCATTGTTTGAGAACATCTGGGGGGAAAAAAGAATGTAAAGTTTCACAACTTTTAGAAACTCTACTCTCCTCATATAGTAGAAATTCTTTTAAGAATGAAGTCAGAAAAGTAACCCAAGACAAAACAGGGTTTTAAATCCATCCCTCCTCCAAACTTCCTTAGATTCATGAAAACTATTACCATCCTTTCAGTCACTTAGATTCCCAATCCTGGAATCATCCCTGTGTTCTGTCTCCTTTATTCCCCTTAGGTAATCAATTACTAAATACTGTTAATTCTATTTCTTATCTGTCCTCAGATCTCTATTTACACACCTACTTTCTCACATACCATACCTACTTCCCTAGGTCAGGTCAGGGTCTCTCATCTGGAGACCAGCCTCCCAAATGGTCTCCTTGCTTCTGTCCTCCCTTCCCCTTTCAATGAGTTCTTTCTATAACTACCACATTGACTTTATAACAACAACAACAAAAAAATCTGACAATGCCACACCCTTCCTAAAAATCTTAAGTAGTTCACTCCCCAGCATGGCAATTTGGCTCCCAATTAATTACCTTTCTAGTATTACTTCATACAATTCCCCTTCCTACACTCTCAGTTTCCCCCTGCAAGGTTTATTTCCTTTATGGTACAGTCAACCTCTCCCCTCCATGCCTTTGCATAAGAAATGCCTGCACAACCTTCGCCAGTCAAAGGATTTCCTCTACATACAAAGGATGTTTTCCTCCACATTTTTCACTGGCCACCCAAAATCCTTGTGCAGGCCTGGCATAAGAGATTCCCTCATATCTCTAAAATGCACTGACTCATCAGTTCCCAAACTTATTTGGCCTACCACCCCCTTTTCAAAAAAAAAAAAAAAAATTACTCAGCAACCCCTGGAAATCTACTTTCTTCAACCCTTTAATGGATTTTTCAAAAATTTGCATCATTTCAAAAATATACAATTTTTTAAATAACACAAATTTATTATTTTATTGTAAATTTGTAGGTTTCTTCCTGCATTGAAATTTTGATGATGCAATTCTGGGGCATGTAACCATATAGTATCATATTGTAAACAAGTCATTACATGCACATCATCCTGCTGGACTTCCATACAATGAGCTACATGCGTGCCTACCAACACTTGCTTGTTAAGACCTGTTAGCTGGCTTGACCACTGATTGGGCTATAACTTGCATTTTCTGTTTTTATTTCGAAAATAATGTAATCATGACTTTAACTGTCACAACAAGTGAAACATATATGAATGGTTTTTCAAATTTTTCTTATCTTCTTTCCTTATGCTAACACTGCCCCCTTATTTTTACTAAACGCCACCCAACTGCACTTGAGGCTATTACCGCCCCTGCCATCTTCTAATGCCCCCTGGGGGTAGTATCACCTACTTTGGGAACCTGTGCACTGGCTCCTCAGTTCTATACTGTACAATTCATGTATCACTTCCTACCCAACGCCTTTCTTGGCACATATGGTCTTAAGCTGTTAGCACTGTCTAAGGTTATTTTGTATTACTGTGGACATACTTTATATTTATTTGTGTACATGCTGTATTTCTTCAGTAAAATATAAGCTCCTTCAGGGCAGGCATTCTTTCACTCATTTATTTGTACTCCTAGGACCTGGAAGTAGTAGCTTAATGTTTGCGAGCTTTACTTAAAATCACTCCAAAAGCTAAAGGATTACTCAAGGTCATTTAAAACATCATAAATCCTGGAAAAGAAAACCCCTACAGTGGAACAACCACAAAAAAACTAACCTAATTTAAGACATCTTTAAACACCTCTCATATTTAGCTTATTATCTATAAAGCTCCCATTAATGGTATGAATCTTTTAAAAACTTGGGGGGAAAGAAGCATCTTTTTCAATGCCTTTTACAGCCTATGGTACAAACTGATCTACATAAGTCATTCCTATTAGAAATAGACAGCTTCAAGTCAGAACCATCACTATTGCTAGAAAGTCTGTGGCTAAGTTGGCTTAGCAAACCAGGGACAAAAACATATAATCAAGAACCCAATATATGAATGTGATGGAATACTATTGTGCTATAAGAAATGATGAACAGGCTGACTTCAGAAAAACCTGGAAAGACTTGTATGGTCTGATGCTGAGTGAAGTGAGCAGAACCAGGAGAACACTGTACACAATAACAGCCATGTTGTGTGATGACTAATATTGGTAAACTTAACCCTTCCTGGCAATACAAGGATCTAAGACATCTCCAGAGGCCTTGTGATGGAAAATGCTATCCACATCCAAAGAAAGAACTATGGAAGCCAAACTGTTATTTTTTTTCTCTTCTGTTGAGTTTTGTTTCCTCTTTCTGATAGTTCTTCCTATTGGTTTTAATTTCTACTTACAACCTCACTAATGTGAAAATATGTTTAATATGAATGTAAATGTATAGCCTATATCAGATTGTGCGCCATCTTGGGGAGGGTGGTGGGCAGGAAGGGGGAGAAAAATTTTAAACTCAAAAGCATATGGAAGTGATTATTGATAAATCAAAATAATTTAATAAAAAAAATAAATTAAATTAAACAAAAAAAAAAAACCCAAACACAGGAAAATCTGTAAAGGAAGTTAGCTGAAAAAGACTTGTTCTTATTACTGAAATGAAATTAGGAGACTAATTTTTCTACTTTATTAAAATAGTACTTCCAGCATTAAGTTTGCTCATATTAACTAGCAAAATGAATCTTTAATGCCTGGCTAAGAAGTTAACACTTCAGCTGACTGGCAATGAAAAACCACCAAAACATGCAAGCAGAAATTACTAAGTAACTATGTGAAGGCACCAAACGTTTTTTGAACAGCAAGGCAAAATGATAAAAGCTGTCTTTCAGGAGGATTAGCTGGGGAGCAGTTATGTAGATGAAATGGAATAGGAAAAGACTAGTTAAGCAGGAAAATATTTCAATAGCCCATGGCAGAGTCATCACTGGGTGGTGGCAGGAAGAATGAATAAAAGAGAACACAAGAGACTTGGTGAAGGAAAAATAACTTAGTGACTGATCAGACGGCAGAAAGAAAGGAATGAATCAAAGATGTCTCCAAAATTCAATTTCAACACTAAGTTAGGAAAATAGTTCATGGATAGTTAAGTTAAGAAGAGAAGATCTGGGGGTTTTGTGGGGTTAGGAAGGAAGAATTAAGTGTTGTTAAGACCACTAAGATGAGAGTAAGAAGACTGAGTTTCAGCCCCAGGATTGTAACTCTGGAGAAGTCACAAATAAGAAGTCAGAAGAGAATTGCTTGTTGGCAGAAATGGAAGGGGATGTGCGGCTGTCTGCATAGATATGATAGCTGAAAACACGAGCAATTCCAAGGTAATATCAAATACATTGAGCTAGTTGAATTTCTAATTTTAAAATGAGTTAGCCATATTCAACAGCCCTTCTGATGAGTCTACATTCCTAAACATTTAGATTTTTAAAATCCCAGTGACTTGGTCTGTTTTTGGCACTGACTCTTGCTCTGTGTAAAACTGTAATCATTTCCCCCCTAAATTAGATGACTGAGGAATAAATATGACTTTCAAATCTCTAGTTCCAAAAAGAATGAAATTGTCCACGTGAGACTCTAAATATTATGAAGCAACTTTTTAAAAATTATTTGTCTTTGTGATAATTTGACATGCTCAACTGTAACGATAATAAAGCATTTCTATAATCTAGTTCACAAACAACAAAAAGAACTTAAATTACCAAACAGAAAAATAAGACCTGAGGGACCAAGCCAATTGTCATTTATGCAAATGAAGTCTGAAGCCAGGGTCTGGCTGGAAACGTGGAGGTTGATAGACTGGGCAAAGGAAGGGAGAAATAAATATTCACGTGATCAGCAGTGACCCCTACTGCTTAGTAGGTAAGAATTTTTATGAATAAGTAAATAATTTTTAAGTATCCTCCCTACCTCTCCACTCAGCCTCACCATATGCACAATCTGTTGCCACACACCTCTCCGATACAAGTCCTCCTCTTTTCTGACACTACCATCACTCCAGTGCAGGCCTTCATCACCTCACACCTGGATTATTTCAATGGCCTGCCTCAGGTCTCTTCCTACTCCAGTTCATCCTCCATTTAGCCACTGAAATGAATTTCCTAAAACACAAGTCAGATCAAGTCAATCACCTCCCTGCCCCCCAAAACACACACACACACACACACCCCCCCCCCCCCCCCCCCTCAAATACCAATGCTGTGTTTGGCATTCAAAGATTTTCATAATCTAGCCCCCTCCTACCTTTCCAGGCTTCTTATACCTGAAGATCACCACTGGCCCTCTGGCTATTCCAGAAACAAAATATTTTATGTTTTGGTTCCAAGGCATTTTCTCTGACTCTTCTCCTGGCATGGAACACTCCCTTGTACACTTCAACTACTAAGCTCCCTAGTTTAGGTCTCAACTTAAATCCCACCTTTTAAAGAAAGTTTTCTCCAACTCCTCTTAATTCTATTACCTTCCCTCCCTTTATTTCCTATTTATCCTGCATATAGCTTGCTTAGTATATTTATTTGCATGTGATCTCTTCCATTAGGTTTTAAGTTGCTTGAGGGATGTTTGTTTTGTTTCTTTTTGTATCCCCAGGGCTTAGTACAGTGTACATAGTAGGCCCTTAACAAATATTTGATTGATGAAGTAACACTAAATTACTTCAGGGGAAGGTCTCCAGAACAGCTATGCTTTATAGCTGATAAAACAAAGGGCAAGCTAACTTTTCAGAATACAGAAATAAAATTTATTTTTAAAATTTTTATGCCACATCCAGAGAAAGAACTATGGAGCCTGAATGCAGATGGAAGCATACTATTTGCTCACCTTTTCCTTCGTTGTCTTGTTTTATTGCTTCATTCTCGTGGTTACTCCCATTAGCTCTAATTGTTCTTTACATCATGACTAATGGGAAAATATGCTTAATATGAATGTATAAGTAGAGCCTTTATCAGATTGCACACCATCTTGGGAGGTGGGGGTGGGGTGGAAGGAGGAGAGGGAGAGGGAG